TCTTCTTGGTGTCCTAGACTCCTGTGCATTTTTTCTTACTTGCTTGTCAACAGTACCTCATTTCAGGGACAAATGACCTTGATAGAAGAGCAATTAACACCAGAGCAAATAATGTATAACTTCCATCACATTGTACTTAACATTTTTGCTAACATTTTCCTACCCATTTATCTCTTTTGCATTTTTTTATCTGCTCCACCACAAATACTCAATAGATGCCTACCAAACAAATGAATGAAAAGTTAGCGGAAAATAGGGAGGATGATTGAACTGACTCAAGGACAGCTAACATAATTATGCTATATACTGTTTTGAAAACTGACTCTGAGTAGTATTAAGTGCCACTTTCTGTCTCTTACTTATTTGAGAACAGATCTCATCACTCCAATTACGTTATACACTAAGTACTATTTTCATTATTGTTTCCCTCATTGCCTATTATATACACACACCTTTGTCTAGTGAATACACTTCAACCCCTTCAAATTACACAGCATATCATATAATACACTGTAGTAATAAAAATGTTGAGGAAATTTCAGTTTTTAGTTGAGCTGTAATGGGGGGGCATTTATAAGATAAAAATTTACAAAAAATGTCTAATAATAAACAGTTCTCCTACAGTAAACTCAAATACTTGACTTACAAAATTGTCATTTGTACACATTTTAAGAACATTATGTAAAAGTAAGTACACTTATGTTAATGCCCGCCTTGAGCCTGAAAAGGTATTGAAGTTTGAGGGAGATAGTTTATGCTGTTGTTTCTCATTAGGATCTAGATAGCTTTCCTATTAGGACAAAGATGGAAAATCAGCTATTAGAAGCAGTTCATCCAAGATTTATCACTGGTCATCAACTCATTTATTCAAGGGTTCTACTTTGTAAACATTTTCTCATGTTAAAAGAGAAATACTCTGGGCTGTTGCAGTCAAGAGCCAAGGCCTCTTTTGTCACTTCTGAGCCCATTTGCAACTCAAACCTAAAGTTTTAACTGGAACCTCAAAAAAAAAAAGTCATTTTCTGTTTCTTGATTGAGAGTAAAATAAGTGTTTACATGCAATAATTCATCAGTTATAATTGGTGCTAACAAAAAATCTCATGTATTTTGCATTAAATGGCAAGACTCGGGCTGTAGTTGAATCAGTATTTGGGAAAAACACCTTCTTCATAGGTAG